CTCTGTGAAGTTGCTCAAACAAGAAGGGCAGACTGGAAGCAGCAGCCAAAATCCTCCTCAACATACACAAAAAAAAGGGAAGATCTCACTGAGCAGACAGACAGAATGTTCCAGGCAATAAATTTATAAAGACTATCAAGGAATCAGCCATGAAAGGGCAGAAGATTCCCAAAGAGGCATCCCAAAGTCAGATGCCAGTAAAGTAGATGATTCTCACTGTGACACAGCACGAACCAAGTTACTGAAGGGGATTTTATTTTTTTTTCTTTCTGACAGAATTTCTATTCTTTTTATTACTCAAAAACTGCAGCATGATATGAATCTAAATATTTGACGGTGTTTGTCAAAGTTTAAATGCAAATTTCTGAAATAATCAAGTCTTTATAACATTGCCAAATCAGAATAAAAACAAACAACAACCAGGCCAGAAAGTAATTTGCCAGTATTTTCATACTCTTATACCCATATCTTACAAAATAAAACTTATCAGCATGCTACAAAATATCCCAAGGTACTTTTAAAGATTTTCTTCCATTAGTTTCATGGTGATATCCAGACTTCTGACAACTTAAAGATTTGGTGTGAAATAAACAGTTCTGTTGGTGCCAAGTCACTAGTTCACGACTTTTAGATAAAATGCAGCACTTGGCACAACATTTTCTACAAGGAAAAGCTCACGTAGGGTGCTTATTTACGACTTTGTGTTTTAGTGAATGTCTTTTTGCTTGTGCTAGAGTTTGTGTGGGCAAAAGCATGAAATCAGCACTTGCTCATATTTGTAAAAAAATTGTATTGATTTAGGTGTCATTCAAGTGAGCCTGTAGGTCCTTGTAAAGGGACAAGAAATGGCAACACGAAAGAAAAGATCAGCAGGACAACGTAAATTAATTGGCAATAAAATAAATTCTCTAAGGTCCTTTTCTTTCACTGTTCTACAAGCTTATGTTTTTGTTCCACAAGCAATATTTAAACAGGCTAATACTCTCAGAGTGCATGTTCAGTTACAAAAGAAAGAAATCCTCTGAGCTGGTGATTCCCATGGCATAAGGGGATATACAGGCTGTAAGAGTGCCAGCTTCCAAACACATCTCTAGGATTTCACCCAAATTCATCACCTGTTTCTCCCATTAAATGTTTATTTCTTATTATCAAGAGCCTAGTAATTCACAGTAACTCTTTCTAGTGACACAGCCCTCTTTCTGCCTCATGTCTCCCTATTTCTTGTGCCTGAACTGCACTTTACACAGAATTTTGCCCCTTCACACTGAATTTACTGGGATATTTTTTGGAAGGTTTTGTTTTTTCCGTTTATGCAAAATGGTCCATGCTGAAACTGTCAACCTTTTTCTGCCTCCTTCCCCTGCTATAATCATTCTCTATATCTCTGACTTTAAGTTTTTGAAAGAGTACATGACAATATTGTATAAGAAAATAGTAGGAAAAATTCAAAGCAGACAACATCTCTGCCTACTTAGTGTTTCAGCCTGTTTGTTGGGAGCTAGACACCAAGATGTGTTTGCTTAAAAACTTCAAAGAAAAAAAAAAACAAACCAGGATCTATGGAATATAAATTAAATTAGATGCTGTTTTCCTTATCAAATATGCCAAATATGCACATTTTATTTCCATTTAACACTTAAGTTTAAAAGAGACACTTCATGAGATAGTGATTTTATAGTAGTGGAGTATCCTAATCTGTTTCACTTTAATAAAAAAACAATTTAACAGCATGCTCAAACTTGCTTAGATTGAAGAAAGTTAAATCAAGTTGCTGACCCTTCCCAGCATTTTGCTGGTTTCTAGACCAGTCTACTTGGATATTACGTAGATAAACTGAATCTCTGCAAGTTTTCGATGGATAACGTGTAAGTTCTTAAAACAATGCTTAACAGTGCTGTTCACATGACAGAGAAATTTATGAAAAACTTAAAATCCAGAGCTTCTGGTGGAAAAAACTATCGAAATACTTACTTGTGGTTTCTTGCATAGTCGTCTCCTGTAAAAAGTTTTGCTTGACTACCTTGGAAATTTGAGCTTAGCTACCTGGAATTTATGATGTATTGAATGCAGTTCCAATATCATCTTTCTTCTGAGTCTATGCCAGTGTTTTTTGCAGGTCATCAACGAATCTGTCGTCACCTCAAACTCTGGAAATCAGGGCAACAGAAAGACACAGCAATTTTGAAGTGATGACGTATGTCAGTACTGCTTTATCCAGTTTTCACACTCCAGTGAACTGAGGCACACACTAAGCACTGAAACTTAGTGAGCACAACAAAATTGGATACAGAGGGTATGACTTCAGGTACTCTTCAACACAAAATCCACTAAAATTTACCTTGACATACGTATTCCTCTGTAGCATAAGCTCTGACAGTTTTCAGATGCACTTACGAATGAAATGGCACATGGAGTCAACCTGCATTGGCAGAGGAATAAATTTAAATTGCTGTCCAGTATTACCAAAGCATATGGGAATATTTTTACCACATCTAGTCTAGCTCTTGATCTCGTTACTTTTCATCTGTCATATCTAAAATCCTTTTACTCTAAATCCTGAAGTTCTCCCTCATTAAGGCACTGTTCCCTTTACGTAGATAAATCTAATGTGATCAAGCAAAACCTGTCCAAATCCATGGATGGCAGACTTGTTACAAGTTAATTCCCAGATAACCTGAAGCCCAAACCTAGCCCTGTACAATCAGCCTCACAGATTGACACTAACGCTGAAAAAGCGAGTACACAAACCTCACTGCTCTTCCTGTATTTATTTAATACAAATTGATGTCACAACCTGTATCTCGAGTATCTTCTCTCATGAATTATTCCCCTTCATTAACTCCACATGTTTCATCCTCAGCAACACCAGTCAGCAGACGTAGCCTTACTGAAGCTCTCTTGAATGATAGCTCCTCGCAGTCTCTCTGTCATCACTGAGCCAACGTATGATTTAAGCCACAAAGATGGAATTTATAATGGTTTTCTTTAATGGTCAGATGGAGAAACAGAAAACGGCACAGCCTACATACTTTTTGTTACTGTCACATTACTGTTAAAGCTTTGTATTCCTGTGCTTCAGCCTTCTGGGTATCTCCTGAAGCAAGTATAAAAAAATTTCTCACCTCCACAGGCCTTTTAAGACAATGATGCCACCAATTCTTCAACGCTGTTGCAAAAAGTTAGACGAAAAGACATCCTGATTAACAGTCTTGCATTTTGAGGGGACACAGACAATTTCAGTATCATATTTCTACATTAAAATATCCTCTCACTGATCTCTTTACTAGTACTGACAAAGGCTATTGTAAATAATGGATTTAAAGAAGAAGAAAACCCCACTTTGCTGCTTTGGATCTTTTTGTGCCCAGTTGGCTTCAGGACTTCGTTATGTTAAGGTTCTTTTTCACCTCCATCACTTTGTGAAGCCCCAAGGGATGAGTGTGGTGTAACTCCCTGTTCTATTCCCAACACCAGTCTCTATGGCTTACTAGAATTATTTTTTTTTTTTTCAAGTTCTTGCAATGCCTTTCTGTATTTGCTCTGACTATAACTCAGCTTTCTTACTATTAACATCCCCTGGAGATCAGTTGGAAAGCCAGATAGTAATCAATTAATTATAAATGACTGGGGAGGGAATTGAAGCCTCTAGAATGACTAACTGGCCTTAATTTCTTGTTAGTGTTAACAGGTTGTGCTACACTGATATATTGAGGGCAATAGCTCTGAGTGGGCAGGAACACGCAGCAGATGATCTTACACATCTTCTGTGTCTCATTTCGTCATAACTCAACAAAATGAAGTTATTCTGTGGGACAGGAGTAACACAGGTAGAGCAGCCCAGGGCCAAACAAGTCTGCACAACGTGTCATTTATAAGAAGGGTGACGTTTTCAAAAGGTTTGGAAGGAATAGACACATTCTCTCAAAAATTCTGGACTGAATCCAGTCTGGAAAGAGAGCAACATGAAAGAAATAGAAGAAAAATAATCTCATCCAGCACCTTGTTTGGTTTGGATTTTTTCCTAGTAAGCTCTAACTTTCTAAACAGAAATAGAAAAACCAACAAAAAACTTTGTACAGGCATTAAGTGGTAATTCAAAGCTTTCTTTTAGATATCGCTACCATCATCATAATTTGAAACCAGCACAGGTATCATAAATCTAAGGTACTTATTAGAGCACCTGTGTTCTTTTTATTATCATTATTATTATTATTATTGTTCTAAAAGCTCCAAGAATAAGTAGGGGGGCAGTGTCACTGACCTAGATGTGGAACAAATGAATACCAGCAAAAATTTCACACCTACTGCCTGAGAAGTCCATCGTCCTGAAGACATTCATGGGCATCATCAAGGTTTGGAAAAGACCTTCCAAGACCACCCATCCCAACCATCAGCCCAGCGCCGCCACCACCACCGTAACCCCTAAAAACCACCACTACTGTAACCCCTAAAAACCACAAACAGATCCAGATACCCACTCAACACGTTATAGAACTTAAAATAAATAAATAAATAAATAAATAAATAAATAAATAAAAACCTATCAAACAAACAGAAAGAGTAACAGACAGAAATGAGTGACATTGTAGTGACCAACAGGCCGTGTTGGGTTTCCCCCCCCCATCCTAAACGAAGCAAGAGATTTGCGAGGGTTTTCGTTTTTACTCAAAACAAAAACAAACAATCGAAACAAAACAAAACAAACAAAACAACCAAAACAAACAAACAAACACCCCCCCAAGCAACCAAAACAAACAAACAAACACCACCTTCGGCAGTGCTGATTTCGGGGCCGGGACGGGAGGGGGAAGTGCTGTGTGAAACAGTGTCTGTGGGACCTGGGGAGGGCACGGGTCATTCCCGGGGGAAGGCACGGGTCGTTCCCGGGGGAAGGCACGGGTCATTCCCGGGGAAGGCACGGGTCGTTCCCGCTGTGGAGGCCGCGGGTCGCTCTCTCCCCTCCGCCCCGCCAGGGGCCGCTGCCGCCGCCGCCGCCCGCAGGAAGCGCCGCCGCCCTGAGGGAGGGCGGTTCATGGCGGGCGCCGCCAGCGGGGTCCGGAGCCCGGGCACAGGCAGCGGGACGGCGGCACAGCACCCACGGACAGGTACCGGGGAGCAGCGGGAGGGCCCCGGTAGTTCAGTGCCCCGCTCGTACCGCCCGTGTCACGCCGCTTCCCTCCCCCACTCCCCCCGATCGTCTTTCCGCCGGCATACCCTTAGGAACTACCTGGAAGCAGGATGGGTGGATTGTTTAGCCATCAGCAGTCTCTGTCTGTGGACAGTCTTAACAACTGGTCCAGACTAGCAGGGACTGTGCCAAGAGAGGTGACCCTGAGCAAAGCAGACTGCTGTCTGTATAATATAATATAATATATCCGCCTCATACCTTGCTCCCAAGTTGCTTTTGTGGAACTAATGCTGCTAAACATTTTAAATAGATGCTTGTTGTAGCTGGGGAAAAGTGCCTCTAAAAGGAATATGAGGAGATGCATGGTTTAATTCCAGAATAAATTTAGTCTCTTTTTAACCTTATCTACACTAGAAGGCTATAATTTCTTTACATGTTGTTTGTTAAATTACTTAAACCCAATATGTCAAGCTTATGGATAAAGGTTTGCAGTGCAAATCTAATTGATTTTAATTCTTCCTCTAGGGTGATCTTCACAGAAACTCCTACAGGCTTCAAAAAACTCATTTTAGGCAGAATAAGTGCAGTCAGTTGTTCAGATAAAGTAAAATGGATCCTTGTTCAGTTGGAGTTCAGCTTCAAGCTACCAATGAGTGCCACAAGACCTATTACACCCGTCACACTGGCTTCAAGACTAAGCAGGATGTGTCTTCATCTGACCTGCTACTGCTTCAGCTTAGGACTGGAATAACCCTCTCAGAGAACAACACAATCTGCTTCCACCACGCCAAAATTTACATCGAGAGATTTGAAGACCTGCAGAAGTCCTGCTGCGACCCCTTTAACATACACAGAAAGCTGTCCAAGAAAAACTTACGAGCGATTGACATGGATGACGCGGCTTTTCTCAGCGCCAAGTTCGGGAGGCAGTTTGTACCTGGCTGGAAGCTGTGTCCCAAGTGCATGCAGATAATAAATGGATCTGTGGATGTGGAACCTGAAGAGAGGCAAAGGAGAAGACTTGATCCAGACGTACGTATGTGGATCTGTTTTCCCATCCCCCCCGTCAAGTCCTGCAAGCTGTTGGAGTTGGGCTTTGTACAACTACTATATAAAGAAATTAATTTTTTTATCATAGAAATAAGGAAGGATTTCGTCCTTAAGATGTGTGGGAGCTGAGTGTATTTAAACCTTTATTTGGAGGACCTTAAAAGTCCTCTCCTCTAATTAAACATTATGGCCTTTAAACATCTGAAAAAATTGTGTCTGCTAGGGTGGCTTACAACTCCTAAGTTCATGTAAATACCAGACTGCTGCTGGTATTTTAAGCTGTTCTTCAAGCCCTGCAAACAACAAACTGAACACTGCAAAAGTTGTTTCTAAGGACGTCTCTTCAGTTAAAATAAAAAAATAATAAAAAAAAAAAGGCAATTTTTTCATTACCAAATGAACCTGCATTGAGGTGAATTAAGTGTACTCTGGTTGTGGTGTCTGGGCTGTGAAGGCCGTGGTGTTGGGTCAGGGACAGTCCTGAACTGGTGTGGGAGGATAGTGCTGAGCAAAGAATGCAGCTGGTGCACGGCTGTACACAGGTCATCAGCAGTGTGGGCAGCCAAGCTAGCAAAGGACGTTTGCATTCTAGGAACTATTTCACAGCTGTATTTTCCAGTTACATGTCAGCACGATTAGGAGGCTGATAGGAGTGAAATCCGAAAGCACGGGTTAGAACTGCTGCTACAAAGCTTGTATTGCTGAGTTCTGAGGCTGGTGTAGTTCTCCAGCATAAACGTTTTAAGACTTAAGAATCCTAGGTCAGAAATTCACCCGAGTTGTTACAATATCCTGGCTTGACTGGACATTTTCTTAAGAATCTAGATTTATAATTAAATGCCATTTTCTGTCTTTCTTCAGGGACGTACAGCCAAGGCTTTAAAGTCTCTGCAGTTTGCTAACCCAGGGCGACAGACTGAGTTCACTCCTGAGACCAGCAAGAGGGAAAAAAGAAGGCTGCAATCAAAAATTGCAGCATTTAATTCAGACAGGTAATCTGTTTGCTGTATTTACATTACCTTTCATCTCAAAATAAAGTATCCTCTATGGTCAGCTGTCTCTGTAGCGTTCAACATTATCCACGTGGGTCTTTGTGTGTTTATGGGTTGCTTTTTTTTGTTTTTGAGGATGCTAAAGCTCACTCTCATCCTTGAGATAAACAAACCAGAAGATAAAAGGTTGGCATGCAACCAGTATTTCAGGCAATTACAATATAAACAAGTGTTTGTGTGGCATGAAAATACTACACAGATCATAGATGTAGCTATTAATTTATGCATAAGCTGAAATTCTGATGATAGACTAAATCTGATTATAATAAGATCAAGCAGACTGCACTTAAAATATTGGAATTATCTTTCAGTAAGCTCAGTAGTTACACTTGGTAAAGAAAAGTGTGCAAGTTAGGACCTTGCCTTCCTTTCAAAGAACAAAGTTAGTATCCACGTTGGACAACACTAGATAAGTTATAACTTTCAAATGTGACTGATTTAAAAAAAACAAAACAAACCATAAAACAAAAACCATCACGGTTTTCTATTGAGGAAAGTTGAACTTTGTTATTTTCCGCTAAAAGTTTGGACCAGTCTTGTCCTTACAGAAGAGTGACAGAAGTCTCGGCTTTAAACCAGTCATGCAATATTTGTTAAAACACGCAATAAATATCACATTAATGCCTTGCCCCTGCTCTCCACCCAAGTTCAAACTTACAAGACAGACACTGGGTGTGCTGCTCACCAACTACACATCCCTTCCCTCTCCATTTGTTTCTCCTGCTCAGTTTGGGCACGTAGTAAAAATACAATTAGGACTGAGAAATGTTGTCAAATACAGTAAGGTCCGTTTGTCTTTTAAATTAACGGTGCTAAAGTGAACACCTGAAGAAAGCAAACTTCCCCTCCACAAATGTTTGCGGCTTGGTGTCGACACAGGTGGATTTGGACATGGAAATTAACTGTTGCTTTTCTTTATGCAGGCAAGTCATACCAGCCAAGAGCAAAGTCTATGACAGCCAGGGACTGCTGCTTTACAGTGGGATGGACCTCTGTGACTGCCTGGACGAAGATTGCCTGGGGTGTTTCTATGCTTGCCCCAAGTGCGGCTCCAACAAGTGCGGGGCCGAATGTCGCTGCGACCGCAAGTGGCTCTACGAGCAGATCGAGATAGAAGGGGGGGAGATAATCAGAAATAAGCATGTTGGCTAGTCTATATGTGTGAATTATTTAATCCTGAGTATATATTCCAGGCTTTGGTTAAACACAGCGCATTCATCATTTAGTAATTTAATGAAAGCCGTTGGAATTTGTCACAATCCGCAAGATTAATGCGCTCTCTTTCACAATCATTTTCCGTATGATTATAGAGATAATCGTGCTGCTCTCTCTTCATACTTCATTCTGCATTGCACTCACGCTTTTTAGTCATCCAGGTAAGATCTTGCTGAACAATCTTTTCACTGCTTTTAAACACAAGGTGCTAGATTTTAGTGTGATCTATCCTGAGACACTCGCTGTTGTTCCATGTATTGTTTTATGGAATGTACCATCTCCACATATCCCTCATTTTTTCCTTCTCTATATCAGGATCTTATGGGTTTTATCTGTTTTATGTGAAATACTAGAAGTTCTCAATAATTTACATACAGTATTAATAAAGCTTTCTCCAGTATTAACAGTGAGTGCTGCATCTTCTATAGAGTATCCAAGTTACTGATTAATCCAAACCTGTCCACTTGGAAAGGATTCAAAAGCATTTAGGTGTTCAGATCTCATCCAGGTTATTGGCATTTGAGATCAAATTATCCTTATTAATTCAAACCTCAGCGTTAAAATATTGAAATTAAACTGTAAAGGCATTGAAAAATATGTTAAAGTATTAATTATGGCACCAAAATTATTATTTTGTTGGTTTCTGCGTAACACAATGAAAATAATTTTACTGTGTTTGTTATCAGTCTGTAATTGGACTGAACTGATAATCCCAACAGCCCACTACCCTTTTTTCCCCTCTTCTTACTTGTTTTTAGGGTGAAGGTTTATATGCAGCTGAAATAAATTTGAGTGTCTGTTCCCACATCAAGGATATCTAGACTGTTACCATAAAAAATCACAGTTGAATTGAAATTATCTTTGGTTGATACATTATTTGTCCTCAGAATATTAAACCTTTACGATATAACAAGGTTTCTGGAAAAGAGATTTTGCAGGTGAGATCTCAGTAATATTGTTATTCCTGCTATTTTTGTTGTGTTTTAGATAAATTTCTTATTTCTGTGCTAGACTTGGAAGATCTGCATGTTTTATTTGTCACATTTATTCAAGAATACCGTTAACTGCTGATTTCTAAACACTTAGTTGGTCAAGTTGTATAATCTTTCTATTTCTTCAGCATATTTTGTTTTCTGATAAGCCTCATGAACATTGCATCACCAAAATCCAAAGTTGCTTTGAGTCGTACTGACATCTGCTGGTCCTAGCGGAGTATAAGCATCAACTTCTACTCCATTTTTACTAAATCTGTTATAAAAAATAAACAGACTTCCTTTTTCATTTGGTCTGAGTGTTGTCTGTTCTTCCAATGGATGTCTCCTTGGCCTGGTTATTCCAGCCAGATTTATCACGGGAAAACATGATGGGAGTTTTTGGGAGGGCCACACACCACCAGTGAGTAACACCATGGCTTTCCTTACATTCTGTTGGTATTTAATACATTTTACTTTGTTGACTACAGACAATTGACACAGCAATTCATCCTGTGCACTTGATCCATGTTTGGGACTGCTTCATCTCTTAAGCAACTTTTTGAATGAGGTGAAAGCGTAAGTAACCTCCCTGAAAGTGAGAGGGTAAAAGCTGGTCCAGCCTTGTCATTTATGTGTATTTATTATTATTTTTAATGAGACCAGAGTCAGTAGTACGCATTCTTAATGAACTTAACAGCTTTCCAAGTATGTGATGAATATAACTTAACACTCAAAGTCCACAGCTAGATTTTGGATTCAGGAATTACCAGTAACTTAAGTTGCCAGTACTGGGTACTGTTGATATTATACTGGCTACAGGACACATAGGTTTTTACCAGGAGAAAAAACCCTTAACTTCTTGGTTTGGGCTGTTCACTTATCTTCTTAACATATTCAGGCCATTTCCATTTAGCTGCATTTCTTTAACATGCCCACGTTGTAGTGCGTTATTCAGTTCCACAGTAAGGTTTTATACAGTTCCATGTGCCCCTCATCTATTTTTCTGTTAAAAGGCACTGTTGCAAGTCAAGCTTTACCATCCTGCCAGATTTAAAATGCTTACACCTATGAATTTCTTCAGGGTTTTTTTTCCCCTCCAGATTTTTATAAACACCACACAAGCTATCATCATCATCATCTAAATTGATTTGTATATGGCTCCCAGTAGCACATGCACTTCCCCATCTATCAGAATTACTCTACAACTAAGCCTGTTAAACAACTGCTTTCCATGCCATCCAAAGTTCAAAGTGCAGGTCTCACGACCACTTAAAACTCTGCATGCAGTGAAGAGAAAAGCCAGCTGCAGATACACCGTAATAAAAACCTTTCCTTTTGGTAATAATTGCAAAAATTAATGCCTAGACAAAGTTTATATATTTAAAAGGCAAAAAAAAAAAAAAAAAATCAATGACAGTGAAAGATTCTGGTTTGTGGATAGTGCATATCCCATGGGTCAATTTGAGTTCATTGCACAGAAGCTCCAGAATTGTGATCTTGTAAGTACAGTGTTAAGGATTGTTTTGGTTTGTTTCTCACACAGAGCTAATTTCACATCAAGTTTAGAAAACAGTCAAATTTATCATCTTCTAAAGCCAGCGAGGGTTATTCTGTGGATCTGGTGAGTTCCACACAACCCTGTGGTCATACCCAAGACAGGATGTGCCCTTCTGTGGAGCTGAAGGTTTCAAACCAATTAAATATCCCCTGGGATTATTTTTGTTAAATACTCAAATAACAACATAGTACTGTCAGGTAATTAACTCAGAGAGGTTTTATATTAACATTTTCAGCATTATGCTACAATAAGGCATTTATCTTTGGGAGAGACATTATAACCTTAGACAAAGCATGAATTTGGTTTTGTTTTAACCAATTAAAATCGTAAGTTTACTAACATAAGACAACTCTTAACTTTTTAATCTCTTGGCTGACTATTTAAGCAAGAAGTGGACAGACCTACACACAAAAAAAGTGAGTTTATAAATCCAGGAGTCAGAATTAAAGCTGCCATGAGAAAAGAAGAAAGCAATTAAGGTGACTAAATAGTTTTTTACTTATTTTAGACCTGTTTTAGGGTTCTTTTTAGCCTTTTCTTATAGGCATTACCCATATTAGCCTGAATGGGCCAATAGACAACTGCACCAAAGCTCTCACTGAAACCCCGTAGTGACAATGCTACACAGAGGTGAAGTGTTCTGTCACTTCTTATGTGACAGAAACATTCCAGCTTGCTGGAATCAGCATTAAGGCCTTGGAGTTCTCAATCTCATGAAAAAAGCATAAATAACTTCCAGTTTTTATTTGTTTTCCCCTAAGGTTGGAATTACTTTTTTTTTTTTTGTCATATTTGTGTCTCAATAAATGCAGTTTTGGCATTTTTTCGGCTGATCTCTCAGTGGAATATGGGATGTACTGACATGCAGAAGCTTGTCCTTTGTGGTCCAGATGTTTTTCCCCAATATTTTTAAGTTTAGCAAACATTCTGAAAGTTTTATTCACCTTTATACTGACTTCTACTCAGTCAATATGATTCTAACAACAACTTATTTAAACAGGCGAAACATTTCTCTCCCAACTCCAAGTTACGCATGCCTTTAAATCATACTATCAGTAGAGGAGCAGTTTATTAAAATTTCTGTTATTCGTTCACTGAAATGAGATTCCAAACCTTAGCTGCCCTCCAAACTCACATTAAAAAGTGTCGTGGGGAGGTGCGAACGGGTGCAATTAAACTGTGCTGTTCAAAACCCATTTATCCCGCTCTGAAAATAGGGGATTTACATTTTCCGAGCCCCTCGTACCCAGCAGAGGGCATTAGCTCGCTGCAAACGGGGCTCCCGGAGCTGCTCCGTGGTGCACTTTGGAAAGATGCGGCCCCGGAACGGGGAGGGAATTTCATTGACGGGCTGAGAAATCAAGCCCAGGACAAGAGAAGTATCACCCAAATCCGTGAGACTGCAACAGAGCAGACTCAAGTACGAGATTAGCACTGAAGAGAAGCTGATTTGCTCATGGGGACTTCATGCGGAGCTCCACACCAGTCCCCCCCAAAAAAACCTCGATTACTGCTAGTGCTTTAAGAGGAGACCAACACAATTTTTGCAGGTACATTTACATTTCGCTGTGAAATCTTGGTGCGGAGCTCCTGCCTGAACATTCCCTCGGAAATTCAGTATTGGGCAGCCAAGAAAGCCCCCTCACAGCAGGGCAATTCCTGACATCCACAGTGGTGCTACTGCCAGCGTTGGACAGTATTTTACCAGAGTAGCTGCAATAGTAGCCAGAAGCAGCCTAGCAGAAGGGGTGTTGGGTGAGGAAAAGCCGAGAGAGGCAGCTGGGGATGGGAAGTTTCCCTGGTTCTCCTGCCGCGACCGGGTGGTGAGAAATCTTGCACGAAATCTTCTCTTTTTCCCGCAGCTTTCTTCGGTAGCCCTTCACCTGTACTCACCAGCAAATTAAACCTGTATCAAACGCTAAATGACTCGCCTTTCTGAGCTCTAGCTGAGACAATATTAACGATTGGATTACAATAAGCTCAGTTCTCCATCTCACCCACAGGCGTCAGCATTATCTATCTACTACAACCTCCTGAGAGTAAACAGAGAGTCCCTTCAGAGTCCCGAACTGCAACCAGAAGTAAAAGCAATTCTCTTCCACTTGCTCTTGCATTTTAACTGGTAGCTCTACCTATTTTAAATTGATCTTTTTAGCGACTGAATTAGTACCATGAAGAAGACAACATTATTTAACATAACAAAATTATATATATATACCTTTATATATTTATCAGCAAGCATCAGCTGCACAACCTAGGTAAACTGCTTACCAGGACCATCAGAACTTAACTGCTCACAGAGAAACCAGTGGGAATTCAAAGACCCCGATCTATTCACAGCTTTTAAGACCTCACAACTCATCTAAGAAACTGAAACTAAAACTAAAGAACCCATTAACACAACCACTTTGCTTAGAGGTAGAAAATTCGATTTTACCAACTTTCAGTAGAACAAGTTTTCTTAATTCAGTATTTCTTTTTCTATTTAATTCTTCATAAGAGTACCTGATAATCCAGATGAGAATGAGTTTTCTTCTAACTTCAGCCATTTTCTGCTGTAAGTTTGTAGCATAAAACCCAAACAAAATGAAGCAAAAATCCCCACCATCAAACCTCCAAGTTTCTCCTTTCCTTCTGTTTTATAACAGGTGACTTCCTTGTCAGCTTGTAATCAGATGGGCTGGAACCTACCAGCTGATTTCAATGTTCCTGAAACTTTTCTCTGACCAGCTGTTCTTAATAGTTATTAATTAGAGGTTATTATATCTTGGTTTAGTTTTAATTTGTTATCTGTCTGCTGCTTCCTGGCAATGTCAGTCCAATCTCTAAGAGAAGAGAAAAATCAGAGTTTTTACTGTGTTAAATACACTTGTGCAGGATGCCCAACCTCCAGCAGGCTCCTTCAAACTGTACAGGCTCCTCATAGCAACACTGAGGGAGCCCCAAATCTCACTGCACTCTTCCATGTCTCAGTAGTGAGTTCCCCCTAACAGTTCTGGGGTGAAATGTCTTAGTGGGGGTAAGCAAGCCAAGCAACCACGTGGGTTCTGCCCAGGTGAAAATCAAAAAATGCTGGAACTGGCAGAACTGTTTGGACAAAGACACCATTCACCTCACTGGTTAAAAGTGGGAAACAGGGAGTGGAGATTGTGCCTGAGATCCTGCAGTCCTAAGAAGGCACTGCAGAAGGCAGCTGTGGAGCAGCCATCAGTGTACACATGAAATAAAATCACCTTCTGCTGTTGGATTCCCAAAACAAAATGTTGGGTAACCTTTACAGGGTTGTCCCCTAAAGATCTAGAGAAGCCTGAAGTCCCTATGAAATTTTATGTGCCAAATGCCTGGATCTGAAACTTAAATATTTGGGTTTCCCCTTTGGAGTTCAGAATCAGGACATGCAGAAGTAGAACAGGTGACTTTTCATGTGCTTTCTGTTGGATGTGGCCAGTATAAACTAACTGGGTAGAAAGCACAGTAACTTATACTAATCAAAGCTGGTTATATCTCTAAGCAAACTAAGAATTTTATTTTTCAAGAGGTTTTTTTTTTCCCCACTGTGTTGTGGGTTTGGTTTTGCTTTTATCAAAAACCTCAGAAAGGCCAAATCTATCCAACCTAGCCCGTGCCAGCTGCCTCTGCTTTATGGCTCCCTCATGTTAATTCCTTGTCTGGGAACTGCTGACTTTTTGAAGTAAAATATTGGGCTGGATCTGGTTTGGAGCAAATGAGGATGCAGGGCCACTGACAAA